GATGAAGCTGAGCTCTAAAGGAATTGACAGTGTTCATTGCTCCGCTGCTGGTGTTTAGCCACCTTGCAGGGCTGGGTTATCATTTGCTTTATTGTGTGATGTGTGTATTGCTCTGTGATTGCAACAGCCCACATTTTCAAAATGGAAGTACCTGATGTTCATAACAGCAACGAGAGAGCAAAACAAATGTCTGAACACCCAAACCTCCATGTCAGCCAGTACAAGTGCAACTGGGAACCTCCTCTGTGACGCTGAGTTTAGCAGACAGAAATATTCACAGAAACACAAACTTGTGAGCTCTGCATGCAGCAGCCACAGAGCCAGGATTTTCAATGTGCTAAGAGCAGCTCCACAACGGCTGCAATCTTGGCCAAAATACTGGGGTTGAACTGGAACTAAAGCTAAAAACCCAGTTTGCTCCAATGCAAATTAGAGGTCTCCATTTGAGCTGTGGCAAATCTGCATTGGCTACGTTACGGAATTAAGGCTTTTAGTGCAGATGGTAATGGGAGTGTGCAGATACGTACAGATACAAACCTACAAGCTTTGAAATGCCTTCCTGGGGTTCTGTAGGTTTCTGCAACATGTGCGTTGCTGGTGCAACAGCGCTTAATGTAAGACTTTGGCTAGGTGGGATTGATTTTGGATAACAGGTGCTAGAGCCAAACGTTCAGTATAAAGTAGGCCACATGGTTTTCACAATAGAATAATAAAAGCAATTAAATTTGTAGTGTGCTAATGAGTTAAGCCTGAGATGTTTAGAAATTAGGTAATTAAGGCACTTTATAGTAAGATGTCTGTGCCAGCTATTGGTGAAATCAGGCTGTGACTTTCAAGATATTTGCAAAGTTCATGATTGATAACATTTGCCCTTTTTGACATTGTAGTATGGGTGTGATATATTTTTACTCATGGAATGAAACATCGAGAGTACATTGCACAGTTTTTAGCCAGTGGAAACAGTTTACAAAGGTGTGAGTAAAACTGGGCAGGTTGGAGAGGGACTCTTTCTACAGGATGAAATATCTCAAGTCTGTTGTTTGTTTTGCTATTACCAGCTGAGTAATTGCATTGTTGACAATAATTGCTAGGGAGCTTACCTGACTGTAGTAATAAGTAAGTTTAAACTTTGTCTTGCTGCTTCCACTCTGCAAATATCTACCATAACGCATTTAATAACTTTCACGTTATTATTTATTATTTAGCTCACCTATTTTTAATCTAACAGCCAATACACAAATCCTCCAGAGCATATTCTGTAGTGGGTTATGAAAAAAACCCCATCCATTTGATTATATCTTAACTTGGAATGTATATTTTCAATCCATGGAATAAAATATTTGAACAGAGAAAAAGGCCCGATGTACTGAATAATATTATCCATTGCAAATTACTTTTTCACCTCTCATCAGCATTATACCTTTATCTCAGAGTGGAATGGAAGGCGGGTGTTAATATTCAAAACCAACACAAGGCATTAGATATTACCTATCACTGTACAGAAGATCCAGAAATAGATTATTTACTTTAAAGGGGATAATCAAAGAAAGCTAATCAAAAAGCTAATCAAAAAGAATATTTAAAGTTGCCTTGATCATGATACATAGGTAGGTATACAGGGAGAAGATAACAAGTGCTAAAGGATCTTTAAGCTTTCAGACATGTCTGCATAATAGAAAGTGCTGGAAGTTTGGACTGGGCAAGTAAGATCCCAGTTCATAAACTGGAGGAGAAACCGGGAACAACCATATAACAAATAATCTTTTAGATGGGTTACGGTAAATATTCTATTATTGAACTCTTTAACTGAGGACTGGATAACTTTCTCAAAACCAGTCTCTGCTCTGCCTCTTTTGGCACGGCTAAGGGTGAAATTCTGGGGTGTTTCTGCGCAGGAAAGTCAGATAATTCATCAACATGAGCCCACCTGGCCTTAAAAATCTGACAGAAGAAACCTTGCAGTGTGCCTAAGAGGAGGTACATAGTCACATGGAAGAGATCACCTGAAGAAGAAATATGTAGAAGTTAATAATGAAGAGAGGAGCGAGTTGAGGATGTTTTAAGGAGAGTTTTCAAGAAAGAGGACTCCTGGCAGTTGATGTCAGGGATAGCAGAAGTTCAAAGGAAAGTATAAAACCAAAATCAGGAGAAGAAAACCAAAGGAGATACAACAAAAAGACTGCTCTGAGCGTGAGGAATAGATCAGGAGAGAAAAACAGTGATTTAGAAGTAGGACAAATAATAAAGAGCTTTGCAGATGTGAATTAGGGGTCTTAATTTTCTGTGGTCAAGACGTCAGTTGAAGGATTCGTGTGGTCTGTAGAACATTTGGAAGCCATGAAAGAAGTAGAAGACAGGCTGTGAGGAGGAAAAGCCTTTTCCAACAGTTAAAAGAACCATGAAAATAAGAAATGAAAGTAGTCAATGACACACCAGAAGATTATATACATGACCCACTGATCAAAGCAAAGAGTGAAAAATCTAATCTAAAAGTCTTTCTTCGCAAAAGTAAAAACTAAACTGTCCTGTTCGTCATCTATTCCCTACCCCCTCAGAAAATTTTGCTCACGGTTGTGAGCCAACGCAAGCAAGTTCTGGGGCAGAGGAGTAGTTAGCAAGAAAAGCATGCATCAATAGCTGTTGCTTTGGTTACAAAAGCACATGAGCATGTATAGTCGTGACAAGTTATTTTCAGGTTTACACCGTGAAATAGAGAGAATATTAATAAAAAAAGATTATGTTACCTCTGCTTGGTCTCTCTGTGGTGGAAAGTCCCAGTGCAGCGTCACATGCTACATCATCCTGCATAATTTTTGCTGCGTGCTCTGGTGACATTGAAGTCACCCCTGATGCTGAGTGCACAGAACTCATCAGCTCGGGAAGGAAAAGGTTGTTACTGGTGCTGGGGATGTATCTTCATGAACAGCGTTTCTTAAGTGCTAGCTATTAACTTGAGTGGGACTGGTACGGGCCACCCAGCTGCCTCTACTGCGTGTGTGTCAGCATATAGATACCGCTGAATCCTTAGCCTAGCCCACGCTAAGGCATACGCACAAAAGGCACAAAATTGCAGAGGAATCTCTGTCTCCTGGTGAAAATCAAGCATGATGGGGGATCAAGCAAATGGTTAGATCTCTACTGACATTTCAAAGCTTCTGCAGACAAAGACGACAGCAGCTCAGGTTCAGGAGAAAGGCAGAGGAGCACAATGGGGCACAAACAGCATGGTGGTGCTTCTTGGTACAACAGGGGTTCAGGGAGGCCCACACATGAACTCTCTGATGGGAAGAGAAATGAACTGTGAACACTGGAGTGAAGTAGAGATGAACCAGAGTTCTACCACTGTCAAAATCCTTTGGGCCTTGCTATCTATTTTGTATGATGATGCTAATATTGCATGATGATGCTAACAGCCGGAAATGATTCAGTGGCCCCACTTCTGTTCTGGTTCATTTCCACCTTAGCCCAACCACAGCTTCTGGATTAGACTCTCCGAGGAGGCCTCATGTTGAAACTTGTCCTTCATGCCACTTTTTCAGCCCTGTTACATAGAAGGACAGTCTGAACCCCTGGGGGAGAGGACAGTTTGACAGCTCCTCCTTTAAAGGTTTATTCTTTGAAGCTTCATGGCCATGACATCAAGAGGGTAAGTCAATGGATACCAGTGTTAAGAGACAAAAAAAGACATTCCATTCAAAGAAATGACCCTTTCATAAGACCTGTTTGTGAACTCAAGATTTTAAACGAGTCTGACCCAGTGGGGAAAAAAATCAAACTGTGTTGTACAGAAGAAATTCTCTGCTGGAAAACATATAAGAAAGTTCACAGACACTGCAAACACTAGCCCAGTGGGTAATTCTCTGAATGAGATGCACTTTGCACTCACAGCAGTACTGAAATTCAGCAGCTCCCAGGACTGAGATTTATTCCATTTTACCAATATGAATGCAACTAATAATAGTTTTAAAAAGGAAGAATTTAGCATGTGAGTGAAGATAAAAGATAAGATTCTGATCTTTATTACTCTGGCTTATGTCAGGTGTATTTTGCACCACTTCACATAAAGTACAGATGTCACAGATAGTTCCCACAGAATAAACCCCCCCAAAAATGGGATCAGAATCAGACTCTGAAATTTTATCGCAAGGGACATATATTCTTCCTAGTATCATGAAATTCCTTGTATGTACAATAGGAACAAAATGGACCTCAGGGCCAGGTCCACTATTCTGGGTGGCAGAAGGGTCTCCCACCATCTGAGGCCCAAATGCTGCAGTCCCTCTGAAATGCACTTTGGTTGCATTGAAACTGGGGCTGCGAAGGCTGGGACACCATGGGCAGTGATAAGATCCTGTGGCAATAAGCCTCTCGCAGCAAAGGATCTTGCATCCATTCACCTCCAAGTGTGTGAGGGCTCTCCTTAGAGCAGAAGGGGGTACCTTTAAACTTAAATTTGTGCTGATGTAGCTGAACAGCCATTTCAAGTAAGTATCACTCAAGAGACGAGTCTCATTGAAGTCAATAGTCTACTCCTCACATAAGTAATCTTTGTAGGCTGAGGTCTTCCCTAGCCATCCTTCACAGAGCACTTTAGATGCCTCTGAGACCATTCGTTACAGTCATTTTTTCCTCCCCTTCTGGTTGAAGAGTTTGGAAAGGTGTCAGAGGATTAGGTTCATGCAAATCACAAAAGCAATGTGTCGGTAAGGTAGGAAGACTTCACAAAAAATAGCTTAGGGGACTATAGAGTATCCAGAATTAAATTTTATAGCAGTCCATAAAATTGAAGTATGAGCCAAGGGTTAACAACCTTGAATTTTGCCCTTAAAATTAGTCGAAGAAAATCTACTTCATTATAAATACAGTAGTACTCTATAGTGTCCTGTTGATTGATATGCCCAAGGGCTACCTTTGTCGGCAGTCTTTTAAGCAGTAATCCTTCATTTTGGTCTTAATAGTGAGATAGGCACCTCCTTCCTCATTGGGCTATCAATTCTTACCTGCCAATACAGTTTGATGAGTTTGCTTATACGCTGCTCAGTGCCTCCTGTCAGCCAGTACATATAGTCAGCAATCATGGAGCTCCTGATGACAAAAGCAGAATAAATGATTGTACAGGGAGAGGAGGATATATATAGCAGTATTTAAGGGAAGTTATATTAAGAGTGTAACATGAGGGTTGTATCAAAAGATTATACATAACTCTGAGTCTTTGTCCAACTTTAAGATGAGCATTAGTAAACATTTTTTAGCTAGATAAATTCTCTGCAAGCAAACAACACTACATTCTCTTTTAATAGCTTTTCCATATTTTAATCTGAGCAAATATTTAATGACTGCTATACAATATTTTGTTCTGTATCTTTTTTTTACTTCAAAGTATTTGTCAGTAAAATATCTTACATAAAATGCATTTCTTCTAGGACAGCATCAACATTTAGAACACTGTAGCCTGGCAGGCTGAAAATATCACTTGTCTATGGCAAATTCAGACACAGTTCAACTCTGATCAAACTATATCTTAAAAATACCCACAAACCAAAAGTAATCAGCTATCTTGCTATCTAATTGAGTATGCTTTAGTACTCCCACAGTCTGTGACAATCATTCCATTACTCTTTCTAGACTGAGGGATATTAAAAAACTATTGTGCAATGGATATTAATGCAGAGTCTTAACAGAATTTAGAAAATCAGTTTGCTTTTATGGCTGCCTCTTCACACTGCTCTCCGTTTCCTTTCCTCTAGAGATTCTAAATCCAATTAAATGTGACTAGATGTAATTCCAAATTGTCACTTTAGTCAATTAAACATATAATAATCTTGTGTACCTAATTACTAGCACCAAAAGTTTATTTGTTGATGTAGTGCTATCAATGTGTACTTCTGCATGTTCCCCTTATCATTGCCTATATATTAATTGTGCTTTGACATTACTGTAAATTGAATTTGAAATTTCCCCCTAGTTAAAAGTGTCTCACAAATAGTAATCCCAATCCTGTTGTAATACCCTTTCAGAATGTACTTTCCAAGCCTGTATTATGTTCTTAATGAGATATAACCAAAAATACACGGACTTAACAATAAACATTTCAAAGCAGGCCTAGTATCAGGAGGTAACATATTGTTACAAATAGGAACTAAATCTTCCCTTAGATGTTCACATGCAGCTCCCATTAATTTCACTAGGAGAAAAGCAATTCAGTAGGATCCATGGATTTCTGCATAAGGACTGGATTTAGCCATAAGCTTTACCCAATGCTCAGTCAAATCATTGGCAAAGATCCTCTGGACTGCACTAGAACAAAGAGCAGTTTCTAACTGAACATTGTTAGCCCAGCCGGCACAGGATGAACAAAGGATGAAATCCTCATTGCCCTGAAAATCATTGGCAAAACTCTCAGTGACTATGAATGGTGCCAGGGTTTAATCCCAGGAATGACATACGGATCCTGTGGATGAAACAGAGAAGGTGACCATAGCATCCAGCACTTCCTGCTTGACCCAATGCTGGCAATGGTTTTGAGGAAAAATATACACTGTCCTGAGGCGTAAAAGTGAAATAAGCACATGGCATAAACATGGGAAGACAAATCTGTCATGTTATTCCATACCTTTGGTCTACTTGAGATGGGCTACAAAACTTCCAGCTCCTGTGACAACAGCAGGAGCTGATACTGCAGTCCCTAGCAGTGTATGCAAGTGGTGGTGGCCTGCTGCAGCCACCTCATCAGAAAGAAGGGACTTTCACTCTAAATTTACAGCAATTCTGAAGCACTAAAGCCTTGACTATCTTGGAGCCAAAGGACATTTGCAAGTAGTCATTTACAATTTGGTTTCCTATAGATATAGTGCCCCCTGACTGATGTAATTTCAAAGATTAAAACTGGCAAATCCTTAACCCCTGTTGCCGCCTGCTGCTGTGGGAGCGCTGCTGTGGGCTGAATGCAAGTCAGTAGGGCACACAGACACCCACAGTGTGCTTTGCCATCCCTACTGCCGGCCACAGACTGGGGAAGCAAGGATCCATCCTACTGGCAGCACAACATGATATCCAGTTTGTGACCTCCCACTCCTCAATGGTATCCAACACTTTCTTCTCCCAGCGTGGCACTGCTATCAAAGGTGGAGACATGCACCAAGCCCTGGACAAATCTGGAACTAATTCTCAGATAAAGTAGCTTCATCTTTCTCTGGTTCTCAGCATCAGCTGTAAAATGCAGATGATCGTATTTGACTGATTTACCCATTTGGCATGTGAGTCTTCCTGGTGCAATCTTTTGCTAATTCTTCTGGGTGCACTCAGCACAATGTTGTTCTGATCATGGCAGAGGTCTCCAGGTATTGCTGCACTCCAGACAAATGCCTTTCCTCATTATTCTTCCTTCTTAATTTGTTCATATTTAAATAATCAGAAGCACACTTACATTTCAAGCACTCATGTTCAGTTCTTCAACATCTGCTTTTATCCCTGCTAGATTTCTTCCATACTGCTGTGAGTTGCCTGAGGAATGGTGAGGCACATACATAAAACTCTTCCAAGACTTTTGAGTGCCTCTATCCCAATTTTACTTTTCAGTTCCTCGGCCATCAGGGAGCACACACAGGTCAGGACCAGCACTTGTTACTGTGACCTTGGGGCTTACAAGGGACTTTAAAAATTCCACTTACAAAAGCAACACAAGCATTAAGCCTCTATGTGGATGGCCTGTGTTCAACCCCAAATGTGCCCAAGTCAGAGAGTTTTCTTTGAAAGCCTCGAAGGTTCAATTCACTGAACCAAAGTGACACATGCAATAGGGAACTATGAATTTTGAGACACAGGGACACAGGTGAAATGACACTGTCTGAAAATGGTTACAGGGCTGGGCACTGAAAAATAATTAAGGATCTAAACACTCAGAAAACAAAGGACCAGTTGAGATATTTAGGCAGGTTAAAAGTCTGGCTCCCATTGGACACAGGAAGGCATAAAGCACCAAGCTGGGCTCCTGACCCCCGGTAAGTACAGGTCCATGTGGCCCACAAAAATCCAAGTAGCAAAGACTTCCAGTAAGAGACTTATGAGCCTATGAGACACTCTGAAGAGACTTAATTAAAATATTATTTAAGGAAATATGATTTATGAAATTATTATTTTAGATCCTCAGCCAGTGACTAACCTCATTAACAACTTTTTCTCTCATCATCTTATAAACATGGCTGATGTATGAAGTATATCATGCTAGTATATTATATATATTATATATGACTTAGGAGAGTATATACACAACGATATTAGCATCTCAGCAGTATGTAAGGGCCAGAGTAGGTCATTCTTCCCATCTCCTGCAATCACAGGTCTTGGGGAAATGGAAGCTTGTGCAGAGCTGGATGGAAGAGATTTCAGTACAGGTCAGTTGGGATCTGCTCTTACCTCATGTGGAGATTTTGGACAAGTGATGTTGGCCAGCAACAGATCTTGCTCTGATTTGTACTTCTTGAGTGACTGCCTAAGAGTTCAACTTTGAATCTTCCTGAACACAAGGAATATAGGGCACAAAAGAATGGGTAAATAGCTTCCAATTAGACCATGTAATAATTTTTTCTAGATAAAATGGCATATTTTTACAGATTTTAAAGATATTTGGATTTAACTTAAACAGACATACGTGCATTCTCTACTTCTGACACGGTCTCTTCATGTAATATGCAGAAATATTGGCCTCATATTTACAGAACCATCTGCCAATTTTGAGCAACTAATCTGAAATACTTAAAACATGCCTGAGTTTCAGGTGATAGCCCACCAAGGAGCTCTGTTTGACATGAGAACTGTAGAAGTCCTGGCAATACCCCTTCAGGAACACCTCAGTGGATGCCGGAGAAAATGTGACACTTCCTTCTTTCAAAACATGAAGCCTTATATTCAATTTTTTTCCCCCTAGTTGCTAGTTCAGGTCAGTATGAACTTCCATACCCATCTGAGTTAATATGGTAAACCTGGTTCCAAAGGTGTCTTGCAATACCTGCTCAATCTGGCCACTTGGTGGTGCAGAACAATAAGATATATTTCCATACGTGCAAGCAGAGAGCATACCACAGAGCCTCAGCTGTCTCCCTCAGCCCACCTCCAGACGTGCACAAGACTTGTGATAAAAGAGCCAGAGCATTTTGCTGCATGGCAGCTGCTGAGACCAACAGCCAGGTCACAGCCAAATCCTTTGCAGCAGCCACGCAAGACTGTGACAAGAAAATGGATGGTACGGGAATAAGAAATATATGGAGATTTCTGGAATGCAATGAAGTGTTATGTTTCCAAAGAAGACAAGAAATTAGCATTGTTGCTAAATGCTGGGGTGTTAATTTACCATTGTAAACACTGGAAAAAATATGAGAGCAAGACTCATATTTGAGTCAGGTCCTTTGGCCTTGACTGCACTCCTTGAGCTGCACAGAAAGCAAAGAAGCCCTGAAGGGAGAGGAGGATTTCTCTGCAGATGGCAGAGCCTTAGCAATAATCACAGCCTATGCACATTAGAGTAACTTTCACTCTTCTATGCTATTCAGGCCCAATTGCTGCTCTAAGATCAGGAGGCTGCTAAGTGGTAGAAAATTACCTTTGCTCCCTGCTTCAAGTGATCTCACCTGGATCAGCAGTAAGTGGTACTAATAGAAGGCCTTGGCCATTGCCATGTGATGTTAGCCCTGTGCAGATCTGCTGTTTGGAAAGGGTAAGTGTATCTCTGTTTTTTTCAGTTTCACAGGAACTTTAATATTCCTGATGCAGACATCTGGATATTTGAGTTCTCTAACACAATAGTACTGAGTCTGAGAGATAAGATGCAAAATAAACTACTGCTCTCTTCTGGATGACCTTTCTTATTTTCTGCTGAGATTAGAAAAGGAAAATTATGTTTGTAACTGGAATAAGTAGGAGGTAGTTATTTTAATGCAATTATCCTATTCAAAAAGTGAACAAAATGGTAACAGTTAATTTTTAAACATTTCCATATATCCTAAATAAATGTAAACTCATTACTTTGAGGTTATGGAGACACCTGGAAACCATTAGATGGTGAGAGATAAACAGACCTCCAGAGTATT